TTATAGTGGAGTAACATCCCCACCCAACACCTGCCATCCAGACGGTCACTGTACACTGAAAACTGGTGTCGGGTCCACAGATAAGGACTCTATAGTAAATGATCTTCTCACCTTCTTCCTTCTGCTCACATTTGGCATTGGGTACCTCACCTGGACACTTGAACAGCTGGTCAACTGCTTAGGGGACTCAGCCCTGAGCCCTGCCTGATCTCCTCCACTCCTGGCTATCATCAGTCACACAGTGTGAAAGTGAGGGGCTATGGCAGGATTTCCTACCCTTAGAAGCTCATCTGCCTCATCCCCCATGGGACCTCCAGGTACATGGCACCAGATATGGTGTTATTCTATGTCTGGGCATCCATGGCTGCCATCAAGCAGGGTGAAATGCAGACTCAGGCCCTAGGGTAGTGCCTCCTGACTGCTCTAGCCCCATCTTTGGCTCTTGTTCTCTGGCTTTTGTTGTCTAGTCACCTTGATCAAAGGTCCCTTCTGCTCCTTTGATGAAAAAGGCTGAGAGTCATTATAAGCAGAAGAGGGGACCACGAGGCCTTTAGATTACAGAGGAGCTCGTATGAAAAGGCCATGAGCATAGCCAGAGAACCAAAGATGACCATCGAGGGTCAGTTTGGCTTGACCCATCCTGGAATAATCTAGATGCCTTTGAGGCATAGAAACTTGTTTCTGGAAGGTTCATGTCTGCCTCCTGACTGTGATATTGGTTCCTACTGCTTGAGGATGATGCTGAGCCAGCTGGGAGGGTAACCCCAGTGCATAGTGTTAAGAGTTCATAGAGCACTTGACTCCTCAATGTCATCAGAGCAAAACACAAGCAGGAACTTAGAGGCAGGAACTTAAGCAGAAGAGCATCACTTGCTGTCTTTCTCTTTGAGGTTTGCTCAGCCTTTTTCCTTTTAGCACACATGATCACCTGCCCAGGGGCGGCGCTGTGCTCAGTTAGCTGGGCTTTCCTGCATCAATCGTTATTCAAGAAAATGATCCCACAGACTTGCCTACAGGCTACTATGATGGAGACAGTTCCTCACGGAAATTTCCCTTTCTCCAGGGATGTCTTAAGTTTCTGTCAAATTAACAACAACAACAACAACAACAACAACAGAAACAATCAGCACATTTGGTTTCACTCTTTTCATTTAGAATATGAAAGAGCAGTGAAAAGTGAGATCTGAGGGTTCCAAGCTGAAGTGAACCCTTTGCTCCACAAATTGTTAGAAACCCTGACTGAGACAGAGCCAACACTTAGGCTAATGCCGAAAAGTTCTTCCCTTGGTCTAGAGATGTGTCTCCGTGGTACCATACTTCCTAGGAAGCATGAAGTCCGGGATTCTCTCTAGCATCACACATATACATGTATAGATGTGAACATGCATACACATACATACACACAAATGTTTTTCTAGTAGTTTCACAAATTTATTTCCAACATGAATACATTTCCTTCCCTTCCTTTTTTTGCCTTTATTTATTTATTCTTTTTTTTTCCCAGTGTTAAATTTATTTAGTTACTGATTTGGTTTCCCTTATTTTTCTGACTAGGACTTCTCATCCTATATATGCAGGAGAAGAGGGGAAATATTGAAATAGACATCTCTGTGTATCTCATGATGTTACAAAGTGGACACAGGTTTTTTCAGAAAGAACAGAGGAGTGGTCACCCGGTTTTATTTGTTCCATGTTTTGGAAGTAGCCATCCAGGCATGCCAATGGGTCCGTGTGCATAGGGGTGTGAGATTGCCAGTTCATAGAATATCAAAGCAAGAATTTCAGTGGGAGCAGGAAAATGAGAAATGATGAGACGAATTTGGCGGTAGGGTGCCCGTGGTTTGAAGCAGGTGAGCTGCATGAGGTTTTGATCTGTATTCTACCGAGGACGGTCATATCCAGTCCGCAGGAATTTTCAGTTGCACAACCTTTCCCATACATCATTAAGTTTGAAGTTCCCACACCTAAAAGAAATATCCAGGAGTTAGCAGGATTCTTGTTCTCCTCTTATTTCTTCTTATCACCCAGATCCCCTGGGGAAAGAAATGTGCCCAGAATGATCTTAAATAAGGAACCTCTGTTCTGGATGATAAACACGAGAAAAGCTCCCTTCAACATCAGCGGAGCCCCGGGTTAAGGCACAAGTAATAGCAGCGGGGGTCAGCACGCCTTCTTTACAAGAGATGGGCTTAATATATGCAGGAAGGATACCACCTGAATGACCTCACATGTTTGTCTAAATTCTAAATTGCATCTATGCTCCATCCTAACTTAGAGATGGAAAAAATAGCTAAATAATGGGAAATGTCATAGCTCCTCACAAGCTAAAACCCTCCTGTCAAGACCTCTGAGTTCCATGGAGGACTGATATGTCTCATTGGATGGCTTCATCTCACCCCTGTATTCTGTGGGACATCCCGTTATCATCACTCATCTCAACTTATCTAGACAAAGGTTCCTTCCCCTACTTACATATTCTCTTCAACTGCCAACAAATGATTCCCTCCAGACCTGGGAGAGATAACCAAATGCTTGGCCTCGTGTTAGGCTTTGCTCTGTGTGGAAAACACAGAGCCTTCTAAGATGATCCCCTCCCCCAACTCACTCCAACTACTGGCAGACTGGACTTCTGTAAGACTCACTCATGTTGTATCAGGACTGGCCTGTGGGGTCAGCAAGATACAAATGGCTAAGAGGGATGAGATAAGACTCTTGAGAGGGGTCTCAAGCATTGAATGACAGGAAAGGACTGGATACAGGTAATGGACACAAGAGTCATGACAGGATATACATTAGATTGCTTTTCTAGTTTTGATTCTGTCCTGGATTTGTTGTTGATGCTGTTTTCATTTGTTTTCTTGGTGTGTGTTTGTGTGTGTGTGTGTGTGTGTGTGTGTGTGTGTGTGTGTGTGTGTACGTGTGCATATGATGGATAAATACCTACACCTATAGTTGATAGGGAAAGTGTAAAAGTCAATCTAAATCCCCACAGCTTCGGAATGGCTGCTCTAACTGTATAGATGTTCATTGACATGTGTAATTTTTGGATCCAGCTAATCTCATTACATGAGTTTTTTTTATTTGTAAGTTCTTTACAATAAAGTTTTAGCTTAAAAATGATATGACACTTCTGAGATTAGACTATTAAAATCTATAGCTCCCCTTATCAGTCTGTGTCTCTCTGTCTCATCATTTGCTTGGAGAGAAGCCAATTGGTATGCCGTGAGACCACTGCATGAAGAGGAATTGTCACCACCAGAATTATGAGTGAACTAGAAAGCAGAGCCTCCATCTGAAGGACTACAGCCTGCTAACAAGTCACACAGTCCTGGGAGACACTCTGAGCCAGAACAAGCTACAGTGCTGGACTCAGGTTCTAGGCAGACCTGCAGAAACTGGGATGCAATGAACATTGACTATTTTTAGCTGCTCAGCTCAGACTCACAGAACTAAATGCTGTGTTCACTATACCCTTGAAGAACATGCAAATCTTAGACAAAGAATAAGAAAAAATAAGCAAATGTATGTACATGAAAATGTCTGAAGAAATACTCATACCTGTACCGGTAACCTCAATGCACTTTTTCTCTTCCCCTGTGCACTTTAGGGTGGTAACTGAGGAGCATGACTTTGCTTTCTCATTGTAGCAGGCAGTACATTCAACACCATTGAGTGTGGAAGATGGTGCAGACGCTGAATGGAGAGAGAAAAGTTTTCATCTTGGGGAATAGGCAATAGAAATAGTTGAGGACATATCTATCCATTACTCATATAATATAGCTTCTCCCCTCCCCCCAGGACAGGTTGCAAAAAGCATTGCAGCCAGAATGAACAACAGGAGAAAGATGATCTGAAAGGAGGCCCAGGAGAAAGATGCGCAGAAGGAGGCCCAGGAGAAAGGCCTTGCTGTATGATACAGTGAAGGATCTCTCACAGGAATCCTGTGCTGTCCTCACCTTTATTAGTTACACTGTTCTCTGCCCTGAACAAAAGGAGTCCTAGATAATGAGATAAGAGATCATCTGTTTTCTAAAAAGTTACTGATCATAGGTTGAGGAATGAGCCAGGTGTGGTCATGCACACTGTACTTCCAGCTACTCCATTGCAGGCTGAAGTGGGAGATTTACTTGATCTCAGTAATACAATACAAGTCTGGGTACATGCAAGGCTACATCTCAACAATACAAAAATTTAAGATGAGAAATAGAAAAGGTGAGGAACTCTGAACTGGAGGAGTAGAGCAAAGCATTTAAACCTAGAGACTCATGGAACCTACTTAGAGAATAGACCCAGGACCAGTTACTGTTGCCCGGCTGTTACCCAGTCTGTGTATGCAACTGTGTGCACACATACCCAAGACAGGGGCGTGTATCCAACCCAGACCCTTTACAAAGGAAAGATTCAAGCAAAAAGGGAAAGCAAGTGTCATGGCTGCAGCCCACCAGGAGAGATGCATCCAGGGAAAGGCAGAGGAGCCCTGAGCAGGTGGTGGGGCACAGGCTGGAGCTGTACTCACGTGTTAAGTCACGCTGGTTGCACTTATCAGTTGTGCAGCAGCTGTTTGTATATGTAAATGCCCGTTGATCCCCCAAGGTTGCCGAGATTGTCAGGCTACTGCATGTGTCTGAGTCCGCAATACATCCTTTTTCTTTAAATATTCCATCTGTCAGGGAAGCTGTAGAAAATTGAGCCACCAAGTAAAATTTCCTCCTGAGTTACTGATAAAAAACCTGTCCCTTCATGCCCTCTGCCTTGAGTACTACTCTTTTCCAAGAGTCAGTCAATCCACAATGATCTGTTTCAGAGAACGAACCAACCGAGGGACCATTTGTTACTAAGGGAGTGACTGAGCACATGCTTAGAATGTGTGATGCCCTGAGTTTGATCCCCGATAGTGTGAAAGTAAGAAGGGAGTCACACCCGAATGGTCCTCATTATGTAGAACCCAGGTCCTACAACAAGCACATGCTCCGTCTCCACCACCTTTCAGAACCCCAGACCCCCAATCTCATCCTGGAAAGGAAGCAAGGATAAACTGGAGGACACTCGAGGTGTGAGGGTTGGCTTACACGGTGTGTCAAATCTCTGTATTTTAGTGAAGCAGCCTTTAGTGGTTTCACAAACTCTTGCACTTTCAGGACACGTTGTACCTTCACATTGTTGTACTGCACATTGGTAACTCTCTGCAAGAAAGAAATACACATCACTTAAAAGGTAACCAGAGCCATGCAGTTAACATTTCTTAGGAGTCAAGAACCATGAGGGGCTAGACAGACCACTAGAGTCTCATGTCGTTGGTTCCTCCACAAGGCTCTTGACTACTCACCTCCCTCTTCCCATTTTTAGGAGAAAGGAATGCCAGGTTTATTCTTACCCTCAGAGCTGACAACTAAGCTGGTAAAGACAAAGACTGCGAGGAGGCTCTTCAGGCTGCAGGACCAGGCCATGGTGACTCCTGTGAACACTGAATGAGATGCAAGAGAGGACAATGGGGTCAGAGCTATGGGGCTCAGACCTGTCATCCAGCAACCCGCACACCCGACTGTGTTGTTTATCTATATATCCATTCATTCAGTCATTTCTTTGTTCATCCACTCATTCTTTCTGGAAGCCAAAATTTATCAAACACTGGTTTCATGCTAGATGTGACCATTTGGAAGGATGCAAAACTGTAAAACATTTCATATCCTTTATCAAGGCATGGGGGTGGGAAAGGGGCTTCCTTCCCAGGCAAGGAATTTTACCCAAAAAGGATTCTTCTTGCATTGGTTTGGAGGGCACTAGATCTCCCTCCACAGTTGACTTGGCTGAGTCAAGAACGGCTCTGTTGGGGAGCAGGCGCAGGCTCTCTATGTGGTAGAAGGTTCTGGGCCATGGTGCTCAAGAGCCATCAGCCCCTCAGCTAAGGACATGGATTCACCACCTCCAAAGTCACCCTTCCCCAACCAGCTGGCCTCCCTCACCAGGCATCACAGCCCACGCTGGAAATGCTCACCAAGAAGTAGCCTGCTCTTCTGAAAGGACTGCCTTGAGATGGAGAGGAAGGCGGTGATCTCACCAGAGAGGGGAGGAAAGGAACACTCTCTCTGCCTGCACTGTCACTGACTTTTATAGGGCGGAGAACTATCGCCTGGTGATTAAAGCACAGTAAATAGTATCTTGGAGTGAAACCAAGAGTACCAAACTTCCTGATCTTCTAGAGAGAGAAAGAGATAACGTGAGAACAGCTCTTCTTGGACTTCCAGTTGGAAAGGGATGGAGGAGGGGAGTAAAGAAGTATAATGGCTCTGTGCCCAAGGTGAGCTACAGAGAAGTTTGGAACACTAGAAAGTTAAAGCAGATACGAGGCTGGCCCACAGCATGTAGCGACCCTCTTCCACCTTTTCTTGGGGCAAATTCCTAGTAGCCTCTCTTCCAATCCTTTATTTCTTCTTAGGGTCAGACCCTGGGATCCATTTAGTTCTCTGCTCTACAAGGAATTGGGTGGCTTCCTCTGCAATTTTACCTTCCCTGTCTGTGTTTATGCCAGCCTCTGGTTAGAGCATTGCTCACCAGCCTTCTTATTTGCAGTGGAGAGAAAGGCTAAGCTAGAGGGATTATTGTTCCTCTAGCCTCCACTAATCACCTACACCTTGGGCATGTTCTCTCAGACTTCAGGTGCCAAGGAGAGGGGAAAGCCTCCTTGGGGAACCAGTGTGCAGAGTGTTGAAGAAGGTGTGGGTTACAGAGAAGGAATGGGGATGTGTGTGTGCCTCGGGGGTTGGAGTGTGGAAGGAAAGACACCTCAATAGTCACAGAGATTAGCAGAGACTTTCCTGGAATTTCTACACAAGCCTGAAATGGTGTGTGTGTGTGTGTGTGTGTGTGTGTGTGTGTGTGTGTGTGTGTGTGTGTG